CCCAGCTCCCTTAGTTCTCCTCCCCAACCCCATCGGCATCTATTCCAAATCTCAAAATTCCCAAATTCTATATAAGCAACCCCTAAAGCCCCCTCTTGGGTTGCACACACCACTTTCGCCCCTTTCGGAAACACATTAAATGGCCTGGCCGGTCCCGTTTGCGAAATACGCATCAGTCGGAAAGCGCACGTTAAATCTTCAAAGTAAGTAAGTAAGTAAGCTTGTTTGCTGAATATTGTAACAGCAGGAACTGAATATCCTCGTGTTTACAATCCATCGAGAAACAACATTTATATCAACAGGTTGACTATGTGATAAACACATTCCTTTATACATATAACCATGCAGACATTATTGACACCTACCTCTCGACTGTGTGGTTCATGGCACCTCTAAATCCTATCGTATACTTTGTGCTTATTATACCCTTAGATGGGCTCAACACGTATGCGTCACTGTTAATATCAGCTTCACATCCTTGACAAATTGCTTATAATAAGACACGCGCTTTTTCAGTTGAATGTTTGCCAGTTTTTCGGTATAAGTTAAACAGGGAATGGATGCACTGGAGCAAACTTTTACTGTGTTCTTCAGTTACCTGGTGCAATGACGTTCAGGACGTCTAGCATACCCTCAAAAAAGATGACACTATATACCTATTAACAGGATTGAATGTAGGACTTGGCTGAAGGCTGATTTTAATAGTATTTCAGGTATATTCTATGGTGTCAGCTTGATGTTAGATGTACGTCCAACTTGACAGGGGCTTTCAGTGACGAGGAGGACATTTGATGAATCAGTGACAAAAAGGATGCCAAATGCAATTCCCTTCTTTGACTTATATATGTCCCTGTGTTTTGTCAGTATAACATTTGACGTGCCCTTGTATAAGTATGTGACGGTTTCTAGCGTTGGGACAGGATACGCTCACTTTTTCGCGAACATCTGGTACAGTAAACTACGTTTATAACGAACACCCTTACAACGAACTGACCGATATAACGAACTTATTCTTTAGTCCCTACCATGTGTTGTATAAATGCTGTATATGTGCTTATAACGAACAACGGTTATTACGAACTAAAATTAGTGGTCCCTTCGAGTTCGTTATAACCGTAGTTTACTGTATAACCCCTAGTTGATAGTGATTCATAAGCACATGATATAGTCGGCACGACTCTGCGTTATTATGATCATGGAATGAATTTTATCTTTTTATTTAGACGTTTGTTTGAATATTATATGGACGTACACTGACAGTAGGTGCCTCTCAGTGACTCTATGTTGGTACAACCATCACTACACACGCGACCTCTCTCTTTGTGGCGTGCACATGTTTCTATATGCAAGTGTGACGTCACGGCAATGATGCTGAATCATGACGTCATAGCTTTGTGAAAATAATTAGACCTCGGTTTTAAACGCAAATGCCGTTCATTGGACATTATGGATATTCAGACAATAATATTTGGCTCTTTTTCGAAACCCATCAATCCTTGCGCTCCTACCCTCCAGATTATTAAAAGATCGGTTCCTTGGGACATATTATGGGACACACTATTTGGGGAACCGGAAGTTGAAGCACCTTATCACTTGTACAACAGAGACATAAAGTTCCACATTAATGATTAATTTTACTATTGCAGCAACATAGAAGTTATTTTCTGGAGTTTTCGTAAAATAATATGTTTGAAAGTTGAGAGGTTCAAATATGCTCGATATAGAGATATTCTTATGCTTGGATTTGTCCGTCAGCACATCATCGTCGTCGTCATCATCATCAGCATCATCATCGTCATCAACTTATAATCGTTATCATCATCATCATCATCATCACCACCACCACCACCACCATGGCATATATTTCGACACGAACGGTAATGTCAGGCTGTCAGGCATACGATATTCATAAATTGGCGTGTGTTGTTGAATTTAAGCTTCCGGGGATCTTATATAGTTCAATAATTGTCAAATAGCCATTTCCCTCCCCCTGATTTACGTACCTGAGACCCGTGAATATCTTGGGTAGAATAGGTCTTCAGCAAACCCTGCTTGCCGTGAAAGGCTACTAACGGGATCGGGTGGTCAGACTCGCTGACTTGGTTGATGATGCATGTCATCGTATCCCAATTGCGTAGATCGATGCTCATGTTGTCAATCACTGGACTGTCTGGTCCAGACTCGATTATTTTACAGACCGCCGTCATTTAGCTGGAATATTGCTGAGTGCGGCGTTAAACAACAAACAAACCCACCTAAGATAGACATAAATGGGACCAGTGAGACTGCCACATCTGTTTCATATTTAGATCTATGCATTAAGATTCAGAGCTACAAAACCTCTGCACAAGGCTTCATGACAAGAGGGTGTCCTCAACATTCCCATATTCATCTTCCCCTTTATGTCGAGCAGTATTCCAGCAGCTCCAGCCTTTGGTGTCTACATTTCAAAACGTTTGAGGTACATTCGAGCATGCTCTTTCTACGAAGATTTCAAAGAGTGTCACCCGACCACAACATTCACGGCATCAATAAAGCTTTACAATCGTTATGTTTTAAACAAGTGAACGATATTTCCAAATGTTACGCATCAGTGACAAAAAGGAAGTCAGGTGCAATTCCCCATTTTGATTTGTACCTTTCCCGTTTTACAGGTTTACAATTGACTTGCCTTTGCATGTGTTTGTGATTGTGCCACTGGTGGGGCAGCTTCGCTCACCTTTTAGCGAACTCCTGGTATCGTCACTCTTTGATAGTGATTCAAAGACACCATAACCTATGATGCATTTATTGACGTGTATGGTTATGTATTCTGTCAGACAGAGATGACAGATGCAGGAAGGTGTTACCTTATAACATAATATCATAAAAGTTACATTTCATTTAAGACCATATTTGATTAACTTAGTTAAGGGTGCTCAAGGCCCTGGTATGGATTTAACAAACACTTCGCAGTAACGTAACCTCAATCAACGTACCGTTTCTCCCTAATCATATTAACATAATAATACTCAGCAAATTATTTAGTTCTCGCGATGGTGCCGTGAAAGTATCGCGAAATGGACTCGAAAGTGGCGCGATAATACCGCGAAAGTGGCTAGAAAATGCCGCGAAAGTTGCGCGCTATGCCGCGAAGTTTCGCGTAAGAGGCGCAAAAGTGCCGTGATAGTGCCGTGAAAGTGGCGCGATAGTGCCGTGAAAGTGGCGCGATAGTGCCGCAAAAGTCGGTAATAGTGCCGAGAAAGTGGCGGCATATTGGTACACTGCATGTACACTTCAGAAATGCTGTCGTGCGTTACTTCCCCATGTATGTCGGATGTATGTTCAATCTAACCTGGAGCTATATAAGCATGTTGCTCGTGTTATATTTAAAGAGGTGTAGGTGGTAGGTCCATTAACAGTATAAAGCTTTACATGGATAAAAAATTATGTTCTTAAAACTGTATTTTTTCCGCAAGGATGCATGACCTATTCTATATTAATCAATAAGAAATTAATGGACAAATGTTTATATTCCCTGATGTGTGTAACTCATTTGTACAAGTTATCAATAGTCTTCGGAATTGGGAGTAGTGTATGAGAACGCAATTACCAGTGGTGCCTGAATACACTTTTTTTCTAGATTCACTCCGATTTTGGTCCTCAGTTCATCTGATTCATACACAATAAGGACTTACGTTCGTCCGTAAATGCCTGAAATGCTGAGTGTTAACAGCGGCCATCATAGTCTCTGTTTAGCATTTAGCATTCAGGATTAAATAAATGAAAATACATTTCGCTTTGATGTGCTTATGAAAACGGAATAACTTTCCTCAAAACGAAGTAGAAACCAGGTGATACACGGATGATACATACATGTAAGGAAGAGAATTTATGGATGGTAACTTTATTATGAGGAACACAATGTTTCGAAGTAATATTTACTCTTTCATCAGGTGAAGGAGTAAGTATACACTCCAAAACATTGTGTTCCCCAAATTAAAGATGTCTTCCTTATGTGTTGAACTTGTAAATGATTTTCAAAGACATGATCCATAGACGGTTTTAAAATGATAGGTCAAATACTGTTTGTTTATCTGTTCCACATAGTGGTAAGTTGTAAGATGAGTTTCTGCTCGTTAATCAGACAAACTACTGCTACACTTGGTTTGTGCAAAAGTTGATGCACGTATACACTTGTCGAGTGTCTCAGATACGCGGGGTCTGCTTATTTACTTTTTTAAATTTGGACTTTAACGTGCGTATTTCGCGCACGGGCCCGCCAGGCCATTTAGTGTTTGGTCGAAAAGGGTATGTCCGAGAAGGTGGGGCAACCTAGGGGAGCTTTTAGGGTTGTTTACTTAATTTGGATAACAAATTTGGAATTTTGAAATATGCCATGCAAAAGGGGGGACTAAATGTAGTTTTAGTAGATGTAGTTCTAAGTATGTTTTTGTAGATTTAGAATTTTAAGGTTTCTTGGCAGCTTGTTTGTTGTACTTTATTAGATGCGGCCGAGTAGGCCTGTTTTGATTAGATATATGCCTAGTGCTTTAAAGGTTTGTAAGTCATTTAGGGGGTTTAGTACCGTTGCTAGTGCCATTTGATTGTTGCAGTTTAGAGTGGATTGGAGTGTTGTTCTATGTTGCTGGTACTGCGTGCAATATAGTATTATGTGTTCAGGAGTTTCTTTTAAGTTGCAGTGGGGGGCATTTCCCGGATTGGTGTTTTTTTAGTTTGGTGTGGGTGGGAGTTTAACTTAGTGTCGCCTGTTTGTAGTTTAGTTATTTCTGATAGTTATTTTGCCAGTTTTGTATTACTTTTAATTTAATCTTTTTACATTGGTAGGTTGATGCTTACTTCTTCTAATTTTAGTGCAGATTTGGCTGCTTTGTCTGCGTGTTCGTTGCCAAACACTCCAACGTGGGCAGGGATCCGTAGTATTTCTATGTCTTCACCTAGTTTACGTAGATTGTTGGCGCTTTTAATGGCAAACACCGGTACGAAACAACGGTCCAGGGGGCGCTGCGGAATTTCCGTCCTTGTTGCTAGCTCCGTATGCTATTGTTTACATACAAAATGCCTTCGCGCTGTTGCGTACCGCAATGTGACAGTCGTTCTGACGGCCACGGTTTTCCTCAAGATCCGGATATTTGCATAAAATGGCGTGTGGCGATTAGAAGAGAGGATCCGGCATCCAAGAAATTATGGAAACCAAGTCCATACTCAGTGGTTTGTCGTAATCACTTCCTTGACAGCGACTACAAGCCATCGGACACCGGTAAGCGTCATTAGCAACGAAGTTAGTAACCGAATGAACGGACTAATGTTATTATTGTCCTGTACCTCAGAATCTGGTATTGGTGACCCACCAAATGCAATACAATATTCAGTAATTGTGATATGTAAATCAATCATGAATATAGTGTATTAGTCACGGTATATTTTTTTTTTATCTGGGTGCACAATATTGGGCTCACCCAAATATTGGCAGAAAAAAATATGCCAGTCGTCCTCTGTGCCGCATTTTACTGGGGAAAAAAAATTAAAAAATTGTCCTAATATTAATTATATGTATTGCGATGAATGACTTTCAGTCAATTCTTTTTTAAGTGTTAAATTAAATTTTAAATAATTAGAATCTATTTAAATTATTCCCACCCTGAAGTTATGCCAGTCTTGAGTAGGCTTATATATGCAAAAAACTGTTGAAGTCGATGTTCGATCTATTTAGGAGTAGACCAAATATAGTTCTATTACTATTATAGAGTTCTATACTATTAAATGAAGTTATCTTAATAATAATAGATGTTCTAGCTTAGATTTCATTCCCATAAATTTGTCCCAACTAAAATAAACACCTTTTTTAAAATTTTGCTCATTTTTTTTTAATAATTTGCTTATGTCCTCATAGATTATATGTGTTTATGAATTTACCATGTTTATTGTTACTGTGTGAACAATAACTAAATTCCTTATTACGATAAAACCTTAATTGATGATATTTTGAAATAATTCTATATATTTTATTTTCAGGAAAGAAAAGACGATTGAAGAGGGGTTGCAATACCAACAGTGTTTTCCTTTAAGAAAGTGAATGAACCAAGGAAACCTAGACACTATGTTATAGATGTGGAAGATGTTCCTGATCTTGGAAGTGAAGTTGAAATTTGTTCACCAGGATGCGATGAAATTATTTGTCAGTCAGATGCTGTTGATCATACAGAAGATGTGGCCATACAGTGCAGCTTGTTGTCGGAATCAAGCTCCAGATTCTCGATTCATCACATAACTGATAATGACAAAGCAGTTTTGTATTACACTGGCTTTGACAATTATGATCATTTTATGTATTTCTTTCATGTACTTGGCCCCTCTGACAATCATCTTTCATATCAGTGTTCTTTGATACCACCAGAAGATCAGCTTTTTATGACTTTGTTAAAATTCAGACAGGCAAGAGATGATTTTGACCTTTCCATGTTGTTTCATATCAGTGAAAGTACTGTAATTCTCACATGGACAAACTTTTTGTACTTCCAACTGACTGAGCTAAACATATGGGCATCACATGACACCGTTCAAGATACAATGCCAGAAAATTTCAAGGAGCGCTTCCCATCAACAAGGGTCATTCTAGATGCAACTGAGACTCCGATTTGTAAGCCAGGCAATGTAGATTACCAGGTACTTTCTCAAGGTACAAGAACAGGAACACTCTGAAAACTATGATTGGTTGTTCTCCTCGAGGTCTTGTTACCTATGTTAGTGACAGTTATGGTGGATCAACAAGTGACAGGCAGATTATTGAGAGGTCAGATTTGAGCATGCCAGGTGTGTTTTGTGCAGGAGACAGTATTATGGCGGACAGAGGCATTATGGTGCAGATCATATTTTCATCTTCAGATGTAAAAGTCAACACTCCAACAATGCTCAAGGGTCGAAGTCAGTTTGAACCCCAAGAGGTAGTCCACGACCACAGAGTATCATCCAAGAGAATTCATATTGAGCGTTTTATTGGACTTGGCAAAACTTACAAAATTCTTAAGAGGGAGCTTCATCCATCAAAAGTTCCACTAGGCACTAGAATTGTTCGAATTTGCTATATGTTGTCAAACTTTCGCCCAAGCATTGTAAACCGACTTGCATGAATAAATGTCCATTCTAAACATACTTCACACATTCATGTATGTTTGTATGACCTAGTGTTGTCTGTTCATAGCATTGAAAGTACAACAGTTTACTGCTAGTAGACAGGTGTGATTGTCTACTGTGACTGTATGGTAGGTATTAGACACGGCTCACTGCTGTATGATTACTGTTTACTCTGTTTCTTAATGATCTTGTTCAACTAATACAATCCGGAAACTGCAAAGGTATGTTAGTGAATGAGTTAGTTGATAAAATTAGCACATTGATGTTTGCTGATGGCATTTTGAATGCAAGTGACGCTATTGTCAAATTGCAGAAATCAGATGTAGCAAGCTTTTGTGGCAAATATGTTATGAATGTAAATTTAGATGAAACAATTATGATTGTATTTTGTAGATGAGGACTTTTCAAACAAATTGAAAAATAGTGGTTCAAAGGTGAAATACTTTAAATTGTATCAGCATACAAGTGCTTGTGGATATTTGACACCACAAAGTGTGGATGCAAGACGACAAAACTAACACTCGCATCAACAGGGTTTATTTTGTGACGTTAAACATAATACAGTTTATAGTCGGAGCCATGGCTTTAGGAACAATTGGTGACAAGTTGGTGACGAGTTGGTGACACATTGAAGCGCCGACAAGTTGATGAGGTTCAGAAAACTACAATAAACAATAGCTTTCTTTAAATTCAGAAACATCTACCAATTTTCCTAGTATTTAACTCATTCGAAATTACATCCAAATGAAGCAATAAATACATTGACTACATTGAAATTATGCAAAATTACCAAGCACACATTTGCAAATACAATGTAACAGTTGTGTGAAATATCTAAACAATTTTGAACTAAATTAATATTTTGGCATATATACAATTTCAAGGTGTTCAGTAATAAACATAAAACCTAACAATGAAAGGGAAAGGTACTCACATGTGTCTCTACATAGTTCAAATATAGCAGGCAGTAAGGTGAGAACCTGGCAGCATGGAGGTCCAATACACACTGGTGAGCATGTGCTTCAAAATGCATGAGCTTTGAAGAGGTCGCGACATGACCTGTGAGCTTTGACAATGCACATGAAGGTTAAGGTCACGAGGTAGTGGAAAGTTACTGAGAACATGAAAACATTGTATCCATGTATCTTAGATTTGATACATATTACGTGGAAATTGAATTTTAGAACATTAGTGTAATAATAAAGTGTCTTAATCATTGGACCACCATGAATAATAAGTTAAATGAATTGTAACAATTTTAACTTGTTTTCATGTCATTTCACTAACAGTTCATACTTTCAAACATTAGGAAATCTTGCATCTACACAAAGTCTTCATGGGGTTTATTGTTGACAGAATGATTGTGCCAGTCATTGGTTATGGACCAGGTATGTGGGGTTATTCACAAGTTCAGACAATTTAAAGTGTACACATGAGAACATTGTCTGTTAACACAAGTACAAATAAAGCGGTTGTTATAGTACAAGGATGTTTGTGGATTATGCACACAAAGTAAGCAGATTTATGTAGAAATGTTTATAGATTGTGGATCAATATTTAGCGACAAACATGTAACCGTACTTTGGGTTGAATTCTGAATACAAACTTGAACTTGAAAGTACAACTGGAATGTGTGAGAAATGTTCAAATATAACTTTATTGTGTTTTAACAATTGAAATGATGAATATATGTACATAACACTGTACCCATGATATTACATAATGAAAAAATACCATTGAATGTCTCACATTTGTTTGTTGATCTGTGCTTAGGATCTCTCTCTCTCTCTCTTACCACTTTAACAATGAATGCAATAGTACAACACCATCACACGGTTGTCAGACAGACATTCAGTCATGTAATTTCATTGCAAAGGAGCTCCACCACATTCCCAAGGTCAGTGTTCGAAATATACATCGGCCAGTATACTCATAGATGACAGATTTGTTCAAAGATGTTTTACAAGCTGATAATTTCCTTGATAAATGTATCACCATCTATTACCACTGAGTCTCTGGGAACTCGGTGTGATAGCAGTAATAGCTTCTGGATGACTGGTTGTATTTTGTAATTTTATATTGCAAGAGTATATCTCACTGCTTCAGATAACATGTTTGGGCCTACAGGTTTTCCATTAGGCCTACAGCTAAGAATAGAAGTAAGTACTTTACACATGGTGTCAATCAGGGATATACCTACAGGTACTCATTTGTATCATTCTCATCACCAGATTTCAATAGTTGAAAAGAACAAACTTTCATTCCTTAACTGTGAAAAGTCACTGATGTCAAATAATTTTTGAAAAGCGAGGCAAAAGTAAGTTGGATAAGACTCTTAGTACTTTTTAGATACACAGTCTTCACATGGATGTATTAATCCACAAGTGGATGTCTGTTCGTGAATCTTAACAAATGTAGTGAGTAGCAATGTAAGGTTTGAGGAAAGACTCAAAGAATAATGAGAGTCTGGGAATCAAACTTCCTGTACAGTATTCCTCATCGAGTGATATTTTCTGAACAAAGAAGTCTTTGAACGTACAAACAGCAAATAAGCAGTATTTTCGCTTTGATAGATACATCTGACCCTGCACCTGAAAGTAGTAATGACAGTTTTCTTTCAGTTGCATGAGGCCATTTCTCTCACAAAGATAAGGAAAGAGTTTCCCAGGAGCAATGACCTCATTTCTAGCACTGTAAGGACATTTAACCTCAACAATGGTGTTAGAATCAATGACACCGTCTGGGGTTGCTGCAAGGATAGGGAGTTCAGAGTCAACAAACATTCCACAACTGTGAACATGAACATTACAGGCTATCTCAAGTTTGGCAATAGCTTTGGGTTCCTACTGTAACCCATGCCTCACAGAGTTACAAACTAGTTTTCTTCCAGAGACAATTTGTTCACATAATTTAGTTTTGTTTCTCCTTGTAGTACATTTGCAAATTGTCCCAAACTGAGATGCTGTCAACCTCCATCTCCTCTCTTCATGCCACAAGCTACACTTGGCCTGCTTTCTTGTCTTTGACTCTAAGTCTGCAGCGTGGTCATCTGTAATCTGTCAAACACACAAAAACTTATCAATAAAATTCTTGAAACTCCTTTACAAATCAGAACAAAACAATTCAATCAGATAACATGACTAAAACAGTTTAACCATATCAAAAGGTTAATATATACGGTACTATTTATTTTGATATATTTTAGTCTGATACATTGAGTGAATGCATACACCACTGGCTTTGCCAGAGACCATATGCCGGTATATGGTCTTTGCTTTTGCATACATGTAGTCATTATAGCCCCAGTTCATGCAAACTGACACAGAATTGGCAAGTCTCTTGTACAATTACATACCTTTCAATCAAATCGATCTTCTTCCCGCGTGTAGTTGCTCCACGGCATCGCAACTCTGTCTTCAGCTTCTCAACTGTCAAACCGCTGTAGTGCGACATGTTTACATTAGCAACACTTCCGGGACGGAAATTCCGACGCGCCACCTGGCGGATTAGTGTACCGGTGTTTGCCATTATCTGTTGTATCAGTTTTGGGTGTTTTTTTGTGTTTTAGTTTTTTTTATAGCCTGGAGCCCACTTAATGAATCTGAAAGGATTAGGGTTTTTTGGTGGCGGGGTCTGCAGATATAATTGTGATTTTATGAATTCTTTATTCTCTAGACATTCGAGAGCGAACCAGACTGCAACATTATTCACAATGAATATACTCAGAATATCTACTCCAATAAAAAAAGCACCCCACTTACTTACTTACTTACTTTGGCGATTTAACGTGCGCTTTCCGAATGATGCGTATTTCGCAAACGGGACCGGCCAGGCCATTTAATGTGTTTCCGAAAGGGGCGAAAGTGGTCTGTGCAACCCAAGAGGGGGATTTAGGGGTTGCTTATATAGAATTTGGGAATTTTGAGATTTGGAATAGATGCCGATTGGGTTGGGGAGGAGAAGTAAGGGAGCTGGGTATGGTGGATGTTTGTTTGTTTATGTGATTTTTGATTTGGTAGGTTATTGTGTTTTTAGATGCGTTTTATTAGTTCCGTTTTGATCAAGAATACGCCTAAGGCCTTGAAGTTTTCTAGTTTATTTTGTGGGTTTAGTATTGCTTTTAGAGTGAGAGCCTTGTTTAGATTGAGGGTGGTTTGTAATGCGGTTCGATGTGTTAGGTAGTGTGTGCAGTGGATGAGTGCGTGTTCTAGGGTTTCTGGTTGTTTGCAGTGTGGGCAGTTACCTGTAGTGTGTTTTTTTATTTTTTTAAAATAAGTCCTAAGAATTTGGTTTGTTTTTGAAGTTTGATTGTTTAGCTGGAGGATTGGGGAGGCGGGTTTCATGTTTTTATGTTTGAATACTATTCCTGTTGTTTTTTCTGAGTTAAGGGAGAAGCCCCATTTGTCAGCCCATTCTTGTATTTTATTAAGAGATTTTTGGAGTAAATTTTGAACCATTTTCATGCTTTTAGTGCGGATCCAGATGGCTCCATCATCCGCGAATTTTGATGTGTTTACTTTAGGGGATAGGCCCTCGAATAGATCGTTTATCATTATATTGAAGAGGGTGGGGCTGAGGATACTGCCCTGTGGAGTGCCATTTTCTAGGGGACATTGGTCCGATAGAGTTTGGTCTATACCCACGGTTATTTTACGATTGTTTAGGACAATTGACAATACCGTGGTATATATCCCCCGGAGAACTATACACCTGTAGTCTGAAGATGGTCACTGTGACCAGCTACACAGGTGTGTGAGTAGCACTCCGTGTCTTTAGGGACAAGCGTCACAACCGACTTGATATGTCAAGCAGGCCGTTGTTCTGGGCATCATATGACCACCACTCACAATGTCACTGTGACACGGATATGCAGTAGTCGCATGTGCCATCCATGGAGTACATGTAGGTTGGGCCAGCTCTACCCGGGTGTTACCCTGACCACATGACTTATAGGTAGGTGCCCATTATACAGCATGTGCCAGGACGATGTTCGTTGAATAAGGTCAGTGTCATGTAGC